ACATTTAGTACAATAAGCAATTTTGATTGAAGTTAATAAATACATAACGAGACTTACAGATTTGGGAAGACACTCAGTAGTGCCACCCGACAGATTAAATTAAAAGATCTCTAGGCCAGGTTCGTTTAAGATGTCTCTGGGGGTTATCGGGGATTGTAAAAGAAGATAGGCGTTTTATTAGTGGATTGTTATGCTTATGATGGATTAACTTAGAGTGAAAGGAGACGTAGTAAGACTTAGTTAGTTACTTCGATAGAGAGATTGAATATTTAGGTCTTTGTGGAGATTGTTATTCGTGATGAACCATGGAGCAGAAACAATTTGTCGCAGACAGATTGACTGGAATGTCTGAATTGTTTTCGTCTTGGGCGGCTTGGCAGAGCCCCATATCTGGATACTGTAGGACCATATATGTCTGATAATTGCTTTGTATATTAGTAGTTAATTACTTATTAGTGATTGCTGCCTTAGATCGTAGAAGTGGGCTGAACAAGTCAAAGAAAAAATTAATAACCTTGAAGAGGAAATTTTCACCAAATATTAATTTTAGTTTTTTATAAACATAATATAATTTTTAAATACTTTGGGTTTTTTGGGTGATATTAATTATAGATATCTTAAATGTTTGTATTATTTTTAGTTTTTGCCAATAGTACTCTGTTTGTTTGAAGTAAAGTAGTTCTTTATAAGTCGGTTCGTATATATTTTTATCAGTACATTTTACATTTTTATAAAAATATTGAAAATACATCAGTTTAATCTGTATTGACTAATACTGTACAATTATGAGTTAAAATTTCGTTATGTTGTCATTTCGTTCAAAATATGCAAAAATATGCATTTTATCCAAAATATGCAAAAATATGACAAATAAAAATACCACCATTTACCTCAGTAAGAGCTAATTCGTGGACATTACTTACAATATAAGTAATCAGAAGTTTCAAAAAAAAACATACCAATGCATATAAATCTTAGTCCTAATTATAACTACAATAGTTCTAATTTTATAAAATCAGATATTTAAACGAAAATAACAATTGTTAATAATAACAATTTTAGTTACTTAATTGGTTGAAATCCAAAAAATATTAACTGCAGGGACTTAAAAACTGTTTTCAATTACGAATTGTTATCTATACACAAAGACATTCAACGTATTTAGATTAGTTTTAAGCTATTCATACCACGAAACTATTCTTACCATTAAACGAGGGTACGTAGAATTGAACTATAAGTTAATAACAACAATATACCTTGTGCACACTATTATGATTTAATATTATAATAGTTAATAATTTAATACGGTGTGGTGTTTTTGGCAAAATTAAGTTCAACATGTCGTTCTCCGAATAAAAAAATAAGCTGCTTGTTGTAATATAAATAAATTATAAGTTATAACATATCCTTTGAAATTTATGCTGACAGACTGTTTCTGCTCATAACCATTTCGTGTATACTATAATTCATCATTGAATTTAAATTTAAAACATCAAATACAGTAACTTTTACTTACTTAATGAATTAGTCGCTCAAAACCAATTATAGCGCAGAGCAAATTCCCTGGTTATGAATGCAATTATTATTTAATAGTAAAATATATTGTACATTATATTAAAAATTTATTCTGCAGAGAAGTTAAGTTTAAGTTTTAATTGTATTAATAGGTAATATAAATTTAACATGTCTAAGTTTATTCTATTTTTAACATAATTAATATGCATTTGGTATATGGATACAATTTTTGTTTTTTTTTGTTACATTAACGTTTCAAAATATCGAAGACTACTTGGTGAAACTAAATTTGGCAGATACGTTGGAGACGTTTGCTAAGAACGCATTTTTAAAATTCAACGTCTAGGTTAAAATATATTTAAAATAGGGGTGTATAAGTTGATATCTTTAGACAGCTTTATCGGAAGTTTTTACCGCACCAATTAGTCTGATTTTTATTTCAAACGCAAGTTTTCAGTGTGCAGATGAGCCATTTTATGATGAAAGTTCAAGTAAATAATTAATTAAATAGAAATTTTAAAAACAATAATACACCAGGCGCCATCTACATAATAACGTATCCATATAAGATAATTAGGCCCTCATCATTAGGACATCTAGGCCTGATAGTTTAGAATTGATACAATTTATCTCATAGGCTATTAGCAGTTAGCGGTACAGTAAGCAGTATAGTAATTGTTATTAAGCTTTTTTTCAGAATGACGTAAATATAATAATAGTATATATAAGGTAAAGTTTTCACCCATTAAAAAAAAACAAAGTATTTAATCACTTGAAAAATTGCTTGAATATAATATGGGTTCAATAACGTTGTAAAATAAACAGTTTTTTCAGGGATAAAATGTGGTTTTGTTTGGACGTCACAACATTTAGAATTAGAATTATGAATTATTTATTTTTGGAAATAAGTTTCATTTTTTAGATACGAGAATATATTTAAAAAGTTTCTAAAGTTTCTAACAAAAAATGTGATTTATTCATTAGTAAAATGTTATAAGCTCTACCCAATGTCGTTATTCAAATACCATGATTCATAACTAGTCATGGAATAATATTAATTATAGCAACAAACTATACACAAAAAGTTTTTTTGCATACGATTAGTTCTAAATTTATTTAAAGTGCAATTATTATATGAGGAGGAGGAACTAAATACTTTATTTATATTGTAATATCAAGAACTGGGAATGGTATATTGACGTTAGTAACTTGACCCCCCTCCCCCCATAATATCGTTCATTTATAAACTTCACGTTTAACATTATTATTTAATAATCATACTTAAAATTGAATAGCCGTCTGTTTACAATAGACGATTTTGGAATCTTTTTTTGCCACTTATTTTCTTTCCGTTGTATCGGTAAAGAACCGATCCAAATTTATGTACTATAGCCTGATACTGCTTCATTTGGGTCCACCCTGTTTTTCTACATTAATACCTAATGGGCATTGATCATGGGTTATTTTCTAAAATTGTACATCCTCCGATTGACATAAAATTTGTTCATGTTGGGGTAACGTTAATAAGATTTAGTGAATATCACCTGCATAAGTATTCTACATCTTCCTCTAGAATCTAGATGTTATTAAATTTTGAATCGCCATTAGTTTCAGTTAAGGCTACATTTTCTTCTTATTTTAGTTTCTTGTCAATCTATAGCTCCGGTCTCCGGGTATCTAGGACAATTCAATATTTTTATTTATTATTATACGTTTGTTATATTTTATAGTACCTAATGAATGTGACTTTTATATTTTGAGCTGCTAGGTCAATACGCTTTCCTGAGCAATGTATGTATCTAGCATTTGCTTTACTTCATGGGTGGTTGATGTTTTACTAACAAAACCAACATATCTGATAATGCTTGCAACTCCTCTACTAGCAATTGATTAAATTACAAATTCTTTAAAAGCCTAGAGTACTAAGATCTAGGTATGAAGTAACTGGTTTTGAATCATGATTTTGCTTAATTTTGGTTTCATACTATTGTCCTCCCTTTGAAGTACGTAATTATCCAACCAGCTTATTTTGTCTTCATTTTACAGAGCCCAGTTCCCCATTTTCTCAGTCATGTCTCGTGAGGCTAGTAAGATGTCTCTTTTCAGTTTTTCTGGGATAGGCGTGTTCGTTAACTTTGATTGTTACTCATCTTCACATTTTACCCTATATGCTAATGTCAACGAAATATTCACCGGCTATGTTCGATGTTCCCCTTTAGTATCGCAGCTCTTTCATTTGGATCCCTGTTCCATGTATCTACCATATTCCAGTTTTGTTAAAAAATCTGTCGGGCATCACCATTCACAAACCTTCCTATCGATTTTTGAACCTAGAACTCTTTAGCCACTTTTCAATTTTGTAAACTACACTTTAACGAATCTATTGCTAGGACCTTTGCTAGTAGCAGCCATGTCATACTCTCTTCTTTTAGAAGTTTGTTTTTAAATCTTCTATACCCTGGTGCTAGATGGCTTTTTGTTTGGCGTCAGTTGTAGCACATGATGTCTCTTTTCTCTAGAAGTTATACCCTATATTTTCATTATTTTTGTCTCACTCATCGTTGTCACTGACGTAATCTTCATTTACATCCTTGCAGTTCCTCTCTGTGACATTTAAGATACAAGTGTTCTAGTTATTGGTTGTATTTTCCTGGTGGGTCTCCAACTCTCTTCTAAGTTTAGCACCTAGTAGATCCACCCTTTTTTTCTTTAACTCGGGTAAAGATTCCTCTTATTCTGATTTGCTTGCCAAAATCAACACGTTCGCGAAATACCAATGACTTTACTCCATTTATCTGAATTTCATAAAGACAATATGATAATGGACTGAAATTACAATAGGCCAATAAATGATGGTTAGTTAATTATGTTTTATGATTACTTTAAAATGAATTTGGTATGAGACAGTATTAGTTTTTTTTCTATAATATTTATAACCAACTTGTCAATCAATAAATTGATCATAATTTAACTTAATACATTTGTTCATTACATATATTGGTGCCAGTTAAGAATCATATCGGTTAATCGATTGACCATTCCATGGATTCGGGATATAATTTTCATCCAATTATTTGGCCAATGTTTGTCACTCTGTTCTCTAGATTACACACATTAACTATTAGAATTTAGAAGTCACAGATTTTGGGATATTTGATACCGATCGTCTTTAAGGAGTTCAATATAGGCGAATGTGGGTGCGTGTGTGTCATAAAAATGAGTATGTGTAGACAATGTATGTATGTATATAGTACGATACAATTTCTGAAACCAAATTTAAATTCCTAATAATGTTTAATTCAAAATTATTTTCTTAAAATGAAATTTTAAATGGTTTTAGTGTTCTAATTCAAAAAAGTAGAAAATCTCTTTCTAAGTAAGCTTTATTAGAAACTTAAATATATTTTCAAATATTTAATCTAATTATTGCGATAGTCATCACTGGATCAAATCCTTTTAAAATCCAAAACTATATTCTTTTATAGGACCGTAGAGGCAGTTTGAGTGTGGAGACGGACAGATCATCGAATTTTTTTGCCAGTCGACTAACACTTGCTAGTGTTACTAGATCTGACTCTGGAAAGTATACTTGCAAGTCTGGCAATACGAATTCTACTACATTTACACTACATGTTATATCACCAGGTAAACATAATAATTATTATTTGTTAAAATACAATAATTGCAGACAAAATAATTTTAAACAAATAATTTAGAAATTAATAAGATAGAACAATTGATAATTAATTGACTTAAGTTATTTAACAAATTACATTTTTCTTTTACTTTTAATATCTTCCCACTTTTAAAAATATTTTTTTTAAACTTTAACCTAAGTCGGTATTACTGCTTACATTTTTGAAATAGAACTTTTGATGTACAGACTTTAATTTAGAATTAATATAACCTTTAATTCACCTGTAAAATCTGATATATTGCGCATTTGAACGTATGATATTAATATAAAGTTATTATTTATTTCATATAATATATTGATATGTAAATCACAAATGCGTATGTAGTGCGTTAGTTGTGCCTAAGCACCATCATTTGTCAGTTGTGTAATAACGTACCAATATGTATACAGTTGTACGAAGAGTTTCAGTGGTTGAGAGATGTTAACCAAAATGTATTAGATGGATGTGTTCACACATCTATACTAAACACATATTGGTTATTATAATATATGCGAATAAGTATAATTCCGGTCTTATTGTTATAGCCATGTCAAAATTGCATATGTCGTGATTTAAGGTTTAATATTCATACCCCATTAATGTAGGTGTCAACTCATCAGCACTATTACGTCAAGTGTAATTTTAAATGTTGATTTGCCATTCACACGATGGATTAATAACAATGGCTAGAAGTATAGGTATACCTGTTTAAATCACGATTGTTACACCATACAATATAATGTAAATTTCGATAAAGTGGGAAATGCAAATTGAATACCTGCAGAACGATGAAAAATAATATAGCAGCCAGAAGTGAAATATTTCTGATAAACCTTATATTTAAATGATCACACATAATATAAACATTTTGAGTATTGAATACGATACCTAATACATTTTTGTATTGCCTATTCAGTGCCTATATTGTAGGTACTAACTAACTAGTATTAATTTTTATTTGACTAGTAGAAATATATACACATAAAGCTTGATATTTAGATACTTAAAAGACAATCGAGTCATCCAAAGTCATAAAAAGGTACTTAAATAGTTTTAAGCATTGCAATTGATTTTGTTTTGTTTTTATCAATTTACATTAAATTTATTAAATAACACTATCATTTAAACTTATTTATACATTGACAATACCGTGAAAAATTATATTTAATTATATAATATATTACTATAGTTTATATATTTGTAAATTTTTTGTTTCAGCGAACGGATTAGCTTTGCAAGATGGTTTGACATCAAAATGTTCACGTAATTACCAACACAATTATGTTATGTCAATGATCATATTTAATTTCATTGCATGCTCAATATTTGTATTCAAATTGCCTCAATGATTAACATAATATTTGTATTATACATTTTACACGTTTTTGTAATTATTTTTACATTAGTTTTCAATAAGTACCATTATTTTAATACGATTTTTATTTTATATTTTTTGGCATTATACGCAAAGAAATAACAATATCAAGAAATAATGTACATGTGTACCTATCAAATAAATGTACGTTGTGTAATAATGTGTTCTTATTGTTATTTAAATTTATTACGACTTCATATTTGACATTTTTCATTTTACTTCTCGTAATCTGAAAACATGAAAAAACATTCAAAATGAATCATAAAATATTTGTAATTTGGTTATAAATGTATAATATTATAATCATGCATTTACAAATTAATTATTCTTAATAATATAGGTATTAGAATATCACGCTTCTTCTATTCAAAATAATTTATTTCAGTTAATTAAGCTAAGCAAAAGTAATTTGTTTCTTTACAAATTTGATTAAAGTTAAAAAATTAATTCATCACTTTAATACTAAAATGTTAACATTTTGCGTTCCTATGAATTTTAAAATTAATTTGTTCTTAACGAATACTATAGTAATAATAAATTTAAAATCATAAAATTGTTTCTAACATTATCATTAGGAATACTATTTTAATGTATGTAAATAATTTATTGATTCATTTTTGAAATTAAAACAATTTTATTAATATAATTATAAATTTTTAAAATTAAATTATTCTTTAATGATTTTATAATTTTGTGATAGCCTTTATAACTTAGAATTAATTAATTAAAAAAAACATTTTTAGTGAGCCCAGTGAGGTGTTGTCACCTAGAGTTAAAACTTTCTGACTGAAGCTGGAAAATCAATAAATATCTATTTTGTTTTACTTATTGTTACCACAGATTTAAAGATATTATAAATAAGGAATAAAACAGTTTATTAATCACTATACAAATTTAATTTTTATTTTTCTTCAGATTCGACTAGTAAACCGGAATACACAACTTCAGTATTGAATGAAGTCAATTTTGTTTTTTTTTTGTAGTTCAAAATTGAGTAATCATGGGACTTTAAATTTTCATCAAATACATTTTTATTGAAATGTTCACACATGATTTTTTTTTGAAATAGTTTGGTTTATTATGCTGTTTGTACACGCCTATTTGAAATCATCAACTTATTAAATTTTTTGTTGATTTAATTATGATATAATTTAACTTTACAAGCCAATAAGGTCAAGTCTAATACAATTTTTTTCATAAATTATCCTTCCAATTTTCTAAAAATATCAGAAATAAAATATATACAAACTTTAGTGACATTTGATGTGATAGTTTTTGAAAAAAAAAATGAATATTCAAATAAAAGTAACAAATTGTCACCTTACGATTTTAGTTATTTTGTTGTGATTCAAAAAATATTTTTTCTTAAAGATTTGAAACTTTTCTTGCCATTACAGATATTATATTTTTTCTATACACAAAAATATTTTAAAAATATTCGATAACCTATTTAAATGACGGTACACAGTATTAACTAATTAGTGAAGTAATAATAATAATATGGTAAGATGTAATACTGTGATAATTAATAATAGATATATAAATAATTTATAAAATACCCGTAGGAATAATGTCTGACACTATCGCGACAGTGGCCTACTCAATGACGAGATACACTTGAAATCCACTATACATATAGCAAAAATACTTTAGCGGTTTTTGATTTTAAAATTAGTATAATACTATTTTTTCAGCTATAAGTAGTCCCCTTTATGTTATGTATATTAAATAAATTATCATAAATTCATAAATATTATCTTCAAGGTATTTTGAATTATTAAGTTTTCAACTTATCTTCCAGCTTCTCAAAGTGTGAGAAACATTTCTACGATAATCCTTTTTTTTAGAAGACATATCAGGAAAAGTTATTTTTAATTTGAATTCTGACATAAATTGTTATTTTGTCGTAAAAAATTAATGACTAATAGTTACAATTTTAAAATATCAAAAGCCTGCAGTTGCAAATATTCTGTATCGAAGCGAATAGAGTAGTGATCAACATTCATTCTAGAATAAAATGGTATCAATTTAATATATGTAATAATAATTATAATTTTATATATTTCATACATTTTTTTGACATGATATTAAATATTAATATAATATAGGCTTTTTAAAAATGTTCTTATTACAGTAAAATCAGTAGATCCACGTTCATATTTTCTGGAAGTTTTGTTTTATCAATCTATAACCTTGCTTATAAAGCACCTTGCTATTTTTATGCTTAATAAGCAATAAATAATTTTTTTTTCATTAAATATATGGATTTTTGAAAAAAATAAAATATGGTGAATTCATTCGAGAAATAAAATGTTCACTAATCTAAATTATCAAAAAGTTCAAAATTGTATAATTCTCATTCCATTATTGAACACCAATTTTTACCTAAAGTAAAATACATCCAAACAAAGGATTAATTTTAAGGAGAATAATGTTGAAAATGTGCAACTGGTGTGACAAGAAAATCGAGTTCTAAGTTTATATAAACGAACTTTTTTGGTTCTCAACAAGGTTTTCCTTGTTTTACTAATAAATTATTGTTCCTACTAATTTTGGGTTTTTATTTCTACTTATATTAATCTGTAATAATCTATAAACAACTTAGATGTATATTATAATGTATACTGCACATGTTAGTAACTATTTTTATATTTATGTGTTCAATATTATAAAGGTATTATATACATTTTCAAAATTTTTATGTTGTAAGATTATTTATTTCTACCACTATACTCAAAAGACTTGGTAGCTATTGTGTTATATAGGTTAGATTAGTCTTTTGTGTTTTTGAATACATTTCTCGAGTTTTGGCTATAAAATATTTTATGGGTGGATTGTATTCGTGGTTTGTGACGCTAATATTTGCATATTACATGAATAATGTCCATTTCGAGTACCACAAAATGGACTCAGTGTTGTTTACTGAGGTATTATAAAGAATACAACAAAAACGAAAACTATCAAATAAAAAGACAAGACATCTCTAAGCGTTTGTATTAAATTCGTTGAAAACACCATAGGCTATTACTGATAATCATTTAAAAAATATATCTGGCTTTCATTTTCACCACTATTACTCCCCCTCCTCTCCCTTACTAACACTCATCCAAACCACCGTCGTTATTTTCTGTCAAGCGAATAAAAAAATAAATAATGATGTGTACTTTTTGTCGACTGTCGTGATCTTTCGTGGTTGCCTAAGGGCTAAAGCCAACATTTATTAATGCTAGTTTGCAAGATAGGGTGTGGGTCAGGATTTACATTACAAATCGAGCCATTTGACTGGGCAATTAGTCGACGAAAATGACATTAAGGACGTGAAGTGAAAAATCCACCGCAAGATTAATCGCCATTAAGGTTTGGAAAAGCTAATACTTTTTTTTTATCTTCTTCTTTTCATCGTTTTTTTTTTTCATTTGTGGATCTTGTATTATCGTGCTGTGAATCTGATAAAAAAATAAAAATAAAAATAAAACAAAGATAATATTTGTGTACGCTGTACAGTTAGTATATATATCGTCTTCCGTGGGTTAAAATCATTTATCGTTAAGTATAGCCAACACGGTATTCAGTAGTTTATTGCATATGACTCAATTTTGTTTTTAATATTTATTTATTTTAATATTTAAAACTATTTACAAAAAATTTAAATTGTTTAATATAATAATTAAACTATTTAAACTGAATCATTTTCATATGACCGAAACAATTTTGCTTTTGTACTGCTACACATTTTTTTCGACGTATTTTAGTATTGATATAATATTATATGCTGTAAGGTACACGTAATATTTGTACTTTGATTTTCATATATTTTGCACAATTATAATATAATATGATATGAAATAAACAGAGTGCAAAATTATAGTGAAATGTGGTTTGTTAGTATGAAAGAGTTTATAAGAGACAGGACGTCTTTTATCGTTGTAATTTTCAAATGTTCCATACAGATTAGGGCCATTTACATTTCATTTCAACGATAAAAATTAGGTTAAATAATATGCTTATTACACGTTCGATCAAAAGTAAGTTTTGCATTCTTTGCTCATAATAAATACTATCGATTTTAAATGATAAAAAATATATTTTTGAAACTTACATTCGTTACTGTAATCGTCCTTTACTTAGTTAGGATGTCACATTTTTTCCATACATAATATTGACCTACTTCTAAAAAATGAGCTATGTGTATAAAATTTTATGCTTCAAGTGGATATAATTTTATGAGTTTTGGTTAGAAATGCAAATTTCATTCCTTAATGTAGACTGAAATATTCCCATAAGTTGTTTATATATACTGTATCTGATACGTTTTTAGTATTTGTTTTTAGTGTTTTGGATGTGTTATAATAATATATAATATCCAGTTTGAGTTTAAAATCTAAATAATCATACTACTGTAATGCTGAATATATGTTACAACTACTATATTATTGGAAATACAGTTTATAAAATAGTTATTTCGATTTTAATTATTTTTCATTCTACCAAATAATTGCAATTTATTAGGGAAAAAATAAATATCTTACGTTTGTATGCATATGGCTACTATGCATGTTTTCATTTCTGTTTCAGGCGTACAGGTACAACATAAAAAAAAATATTTATTTATTTATTATCAAGGTTAGGTTAACTTACAAGGTTTGATTTACGGACAATCATATTGCATTATTATACGTCTGGCGCTAACATGAATCTGTTAAAAATAAATATCTACAGACTATGAACATTGTTTATATTATTGGAATTTAAAATATTATAACTCGTGATGATAATATTTATTTAAATATTTACATTGTTTGTAAATTAAATACTTAGTACGAATAATTTTTCTTAGTGAAATTAATTTCAAACACTTAAGTTATGGTAACGGAAATAGAAATGTAGCTTTCTAAACTTGTGACAATTAAATGTTTTGTCTTAAATAATTTTGCGTATTCATAATTTGTTTTAAATTACAATGAAATTATAACAATGTTTAACTAACAATAATGGCAGTTTTGTTAAAAATAAAAATAGACAATGAACTCAATAATTTATTGGTGCCAAATCCACTAAACATTCTTTTATAAAGTTTATCAATTATATTTAGTTTTATTGACATCACGCCATTTCTTCGTAAAAAATAAACCTGTGAACATGATATCTACAATCTAATCT